AAACAAAAATAAAAAAATAAATTAAAGAAATACAAAAAAAGTTAAGAAACTTTAAATAGTTAGTTTAATATTAATATCAATAAAAAAATTAAATGATATTTTCATATTTATATTTTATTCAAAACTTAAAACATTATCGTTTTCTTAAAACCATATTATAACATCGACCGAGACAAAAAAAATAAATAAATAAAAACATTAAAATCGAGATGTATCTCGCTGCACTGTACGAGTACTCTTCTAGTTTTTTTTAAGAATCTTCGGGTTTACCTTAAAGTTGGCGTGAAGTGACAGTTTGCTAGTTTTTTTATATATTTTATTGACTTTTATGTTTGATATAATAATTAATATGTATATGGAACTCACAAAATGAGTTATTATAAGAAGTATTATTGTGGAGTTTTAAGCAGGTTATTAACTTATGTGGTATCAAACCGAAGTTTTGTAAAAAGTGTTTGGATTAGCTTATAGCGGTACCAAAAAGTAATAAGCTGATAAGTTGTTTTTTAGTGTTTGGCAAATTTTGCTTATATATGTAAAATGACCAAAAAGGACAGTCTTCCATATTATTGACTTATGGGAGTGTTTGTGATTGCTTATTAATTTATTTGATTGTTTAACATGTAAAAATTTATTTTTGATCATTTATAATAATATCTTTGACAAAAATTTATATCAATAAGATTAATAATTAACAATCATTAATAAAACATGGTTAAAATGGTAAACTGATAATAAGCAGTTTTTCATAAATCAGGAAGAATTAATTTATCAAAAACTGCTTATTACCGGTTTGACACTGGTATAAACAGTTTTATTTTTTCTCATCCAAACACTAGCATTTAGCTTATCACCGGTGCCAGACTGAAATAAGTCAAAAAACACCCAAAATAAACAATCTCAAACACCCCTTTAATACTACAAAAAGTACGTTTTCACACGTTGCAAAAGTGGCACTTGTGAAATTTTGACTATTTTGATCAACTTAAAAAAAAATTGGCTGAAAAATGAAGATGTTAATCCAAAAGGGATAATTTGGTCAATTTGTTATTTTTAAATTAAATGTAAAAAACATATTAATTCTATGTCTTTGAATAAGTGTTCAGGATAAAAATAAAATAAAATTTTAAACATGTATAATTTTTTTAACTAAAAGACTATTTTACCCTTTATTAATTTATCTATCTTATCAATTTTTAAATATTTGTACATTACTTAAGGGTGTATTTAGATATTTAGGGGTCGATTACCAAACACTTACCCATAGGCGCTTATATCACTATCACTTATTTATCAGGTAAGACTTTATTCTACCAAAATGACATCGTATATAACAATTTACACAGTAAACGTTTACCATGATAAGAGTCGTGGACCTCACTTACCGGATAAGACTTTTGGTTCTTGTCTTGTTTTTACCGGATAAGATTCTTAGTCTATTACCATATTCAATCAAATACACTTAAAAATTACGTTTTGTTATAGTTTTATAATTGGTTTTTAAATGAAATACACTTAAAAAATATGTTTTATTGTAAATTTGTAATTTGATTTTCAATCAAATACACTTAGAAAGCTAGAAATACATTTAAAAATATATTTTTTTGAAAAAAAAATCGGGTCGGTCTCGGGACAGGCCTATAACCGGTCCCGGGTCAAACCTTGTATTTGGATGAAAACCATAATTGGTTCTTAACCGGCGGTCCCAAACCGGTTCCAATCGGTCCCAGTCATCCGTCGTCCCCGGGCCCATTTGGCCATCTCCAATAGAGATGCACAAAAATGCCTCTTATCTAAACTATAAGAGTTTGGCAAGAAAACCATCCTTCAAGGATCGAACACGGGGTCAAACCAGTCTTTCGGGCTTAAACCGATTATCGACAAGTCAATGACGGATGTTCAGTTCAGTCAATGTCATTTACAACTGCTAGTTTTTAGAATAGGGGACCAACAGGTCCAGATATTGATACTTGCTTCCACAAAAGCAACAAAACAATCTGTATTAATTTTTTAAAATAAAAAAAACGAGGTTAAATCAAAACGTTAACTACCGAACTCAAGTCAGTCATAGTTTATGATTGATTAAGAACTAGATTTTTATTCGAACAACTGCAAAGGATCTATGAGAAGCGAATGATCGATCAATCATCATCAAAATCGATTATCATCCGACTTCATCAACAACAGCAGAAAGGACAAAGATAATTGATATTGATGACAAGATTGGAGATGACAATATATCTGTTTGGCATATAATGAAAAGCAGTTGTATTTTTATTCCAATATATTTGACCCAATCAAATTATAGATCATTACGAGGTCCGTTAAATGATTTTGTGTAAAAACAAACGTCTATGAAGTTTACGAGATTAAATTCATGTGGTATGTACTTTTTCTGTTATTCTACTGAATGTTTATTAATTTTCTCGTTTGCTAATTATACCTCAACATTGTCTACGAGCACGAACAGTAGTTTTTGAGATTTATCTGCAATGCTCTGAAAATATAATTTAACTACCTCAATAAGAAAACGGAAATGTTACAAGATTCAAGTAATCGGATATTGGATATTAGTTATGGATCGACACGTAAAATAATGTACTGGTAATATGATTATGTTGTTGATTCAACGATAAATATAACATATATATTTCAAATGCAATCATGTCCATTTATACAACCAATGCAACCTAATTAATTGAGATATTTATGATAATGATGAGAGTTCATTTATTATGATTTAAATATTTATGGAAGATGACTAGAGTTCATTAATTATGATCATTACTTTTTATTATGACACAATCAAAACTTTTATAAAATCACATATTCATCAAATTAAATGGACGGTTAATATTGAGTTGTATTGGTTGTACAAATGTAAAAGATTGCATAATAACTCATATATATATATATATATATATATTAAAATTATTGTTATTAGATATCGCAAATATAATGCCCCAACTCTAGCAAGAGGTTCAATAACTTCTAAATCAACTTACGTAGTGTAAGGGACCGTTTACCAAACGTTTACCAGAGTAAGCGCTTATTAAGTAACATTACCTTTCCGGATGAATTTGGTAAATACCAAGAATCTTATTCGGTAAGAGTAAAGACAAGTACCAAGGGTCTTACCCGGTAAGTAAGAGCGATGACTCTTACCACCGTTAGTGCTTACCGGATAAATTGTTGCATTCGATATCATTTTGGTGGATTAAAATCTTACCCGGTAAGTAAGCGATAACGTTGAATTTTGTCGGTAAACATTTATCCGGATAAACGTTTGGTAAACGACCCATAAGTTATTAATTAAGGAAAATTGCATTAAAAAATAACGTACTTTAACTTAATTCATATTTTGAATAATGTATTTTTAAACTTCTATTTTAATATCTAAAATGTAAAATTTTAAACATTTATGTTTACAAAAATTTGGTTATAAAGTCACATTTTTTTTTTACATTTGATGAGGTTTGAACTGTTAAATTTTTAGGAGACTAAAGACTCATATACTGCTAGATCAAAGGCTTTTTGGTTGTGTTTCTTATTTTTGGGGATTAATTTTAAGATTTTATAAATTTGTGTTAATCTTAAGAATTAGTATATTATATATTATTTTACATGATTTTTTTATTTAAAGTTTGGATTTAATGTGTTATTTAATATATATTTGTTTTATAACGTGTTATTTTCAAATATTCTTTCACAATGCAAGCATTTTTATGTGTTTGGGTCACAAAATATATAACTAAAAAGTTCATATTTTAAATGACAAATTGCATGAAAAAGTAACGTACTTTAACTTGATTCCTATTTTGGATAATGTACTTTTAAAACTTTCGTTTTGGTACATAAGAAGTAAATTTTTGACATTTAAGTACCCGGGTAATCGGTTAAAGCATAACCGGTTACCATGTTGATGTGGCGAGTATGTGGCATTCGGTTAATGCTTCAGCAAATAATACTGAGTTGGATACCACATCACTCGCCACATCAACATGGTAACCGATTAATGCTTCAACCGGTTACTTGGATACTTAAATGTTTAAAACTTTACATCTTAGATACCAAAATCAAAGTTTTGAAAGTATGTTATCCAAAAAAGGAATCAATTTAAAGTACATTGTTTTTTCATGCAATTTGCCATATTTTAAACCGCATATATATGAAACCTTATTGGATATGATATTTGTTCAATTATTGTTTTTTAATAACTCGGGGCTGTTTGATAGTTACTGAATGGTTTAGTGCAAAATGATTAAGTAGTCAGAATGATTAATATACTCTTATGATATAGTGCAAAATGAAATATAATTGTTTGGTAATTGTTTACAATGAAATTACAGAATTGAATGGTTAAGGGAAACCCGTTATACAAAATCATTCAGAGGGGTGTCGGGATCCGATTGCCTTTACCGTTTGTTGAGGGAGCAATTTACAAAGGACGGTTTTGTCAAGTTATCATATTCACCCAGTAAAATGAATAATACCTGATAAACACTTTCATGGATGAACCTATGTATGTCTAAGCGGGCTCCTGTACACCTGCTCAACTTGTTTTCGCAAGTAGAACTTTTTAAGATATGAAAGGTGTACCCTGTTAAATTTTAAGGGGTGTTCCGGGATATTAGAAAATATAAAGAACATCAACCAAAAAACCGAAAAAGTACCTTAAAATCAATTAAAAAAATGACCAAAAAACTTAAATATATTTAGAAATCAACAAAAAGAACTTTAAAAATCCATCAAAACGGGGGAATTCAGCTAAAAACACATGACTTTATAGACCTTTGATAAGGTGTCTTCACTTAACAAAAACCTTGATGCACACTTAGGGGTTACCTAAACATTTACCTGGTAAGCATTTACCGGTAAAATTCAACACTATGGTTTACTTACAGGGTAAGATTTGAGTCCACCAAAACGACATTGTATATAATAATTTACCCGGTAAACGCTAACCGTGGTAATAGTCGTCGCCATCACTTACCGGGTAAGACTATCGGTCTTCTTATCGGGTAAGATTCTTAGTCATTGAAATATTCATCCGTAAAATAATGTGACTTGGTAAACACTTACCTGGTAAGCATTTCGTAAACGGTTTCTTACCCAATAAACAAGGTGTAAGTTAAATATATTTTTATTAAAAATTCAATAATAATAAAAACTATGGCCATGAACACATGCAAGTAAAACTAGGGACACCATGAAAATAGGGTTGGAGGTTATGAGATCTCCGAGTGAAATCTTCAAAATCAGATCAACAAACCATCCGATTCCAACGCAAAAACCACATTAAAATGGTAAGATTTTTCAGTGATTCAATCACTTTATACACTCACACTCAATCTCAATCTCAGTGACATGGGAGACAATGCAGGCGGAACCCAATCGATGAAGGCGGCGGCCGACGCCATGTTAACCGTCGCCGAGAAAGCTCCTCTTACTTCCCATAGAAAAGTCCGATCTGATCTCGACACCAAGCTCCCTAAACCTTGTATGTTAATCGTTTCTTCAATTTTTGCACGATTTGGGATCAAATCTGTGGTTTAATTTTGCGATTCGAATGATTTGGGATCAAATTTGTGGCTTAATTTTGCGATTCGAATGATCTAGGGATCAAATTATGTGGTTTAATTTTGCGATTTTGGATGAAATCGTGTTGTTCAGATTTGGCTCGAGCGGTGGCTGCACCAGATACGGATAACGTGAATGGAACATGGGGCCACAAGCACCATAACATGTCGGTTCTTCAGCAGCATGTAGCCTTCTTTGATCAAGACGATAATGGCATCATCTATCCTTGGGAAAGCTTTAAAGGCAAGTTTTGGAGAAATTTATATAAATAGCCAGAACTGATAGATGATTTCATTTTTTAGTTATTTTATAACTGAAATTCACTTTTTGAAGAAATTAAACCATTCTATCTTATAATAAGTTGATAAGGACTTTTGTAGAAAAACACAAGTTGTTTCAAATAAGCAATCCCAAACACCCCCTTAGTCAATACTTACACAGAAGCATAAGGATTGATTTTCGACAAATAAATAAGAAAAGAATCCTTACATGTCGGACAGGACAAGACATAACAATACAAAAACTTGTCGTCCCATGTTTGATGCGACAGTGGTCTAGGACACGACGAGATCTAAGTGGGACAAAGGTACATTTTTTCTGTACCAGCAAAATAGGTGGAACAAAAAACCAGGAAGATGAAACTGGTAAATTATTAGACTACGTATATCAAACTAAAACCCTAAAACGTCTAGGAATTCTTTCACCCACAAGTCCAATCCTGTCCGCATACCAAACACGCCCCAAGAAACCGATGTGCCCTTGGCACAACTAGCTACACACTATATATGAACATATACACGAATGACGATTTAACCAATTGCAATGGCAATGACTTGATTAATAATACTATCGTTTATCAGGGTTTCGCGATCTCGGATTCAATATCTTCGGTTGTTTGTTCTTCACGGTGCTTGTTCACGGAGCTATGAGTTATGCCACTCTACCCGTAAGTCCAAGACTTTAAAAAAAGCATATAAGTCGTTTAGGCTTGATGGACACAACCTCTTTACCTCACGAGGTGGAGGAAATGTATGTGTATATTTTATCCTCCTTAGAATCTACTCCATGCGGGATTTGTTGGATTCGTTTGAGACTTGACGGAAACAACCTCTCTATCCTGTGGGATAGAGAAGAGGTCTGCATATATTTTACCATCCTTAGACCTTCCTCTGTGTAGGATTTACTGGGTTCGTTTTCTTCAGTACCAACGTTCTTAGAACTGAGGGCGTAAGCGTCTTTATATTATGCTTTCTTCTCATTATCGTCAAAGCAACATCGTTTGATCTGATTCTCTCGTCGTAGACTTGGTTGCCGTCGCCTTTCTTCCCAATTTACATAAAGAACATACACAAGGCCAAGCATGGAAGTGATTCCTCGACTTATGATACTGAAGGAAGGTGAGAAAAGCTCGTTTACTTTTTAATCGATCAAATTGACCGCTAACGAAGGCGTAATAAGCAAAAAGTAAAAAATGATGCCTTTTTTTGGCAGGTTTGTTCCGGCAAACCTCGAGAACATTTTCAGCAAATACGCTCACACCAAACCCGACAAGCTCAACTTCAAAGAGCTTTGGGATATGACCGATGGGTGTCGCAATGCCTTTGATTTCTTTGGCTGGTACTCACATTCGCTCCCTAAAACTCATTATCGTATCTTGTGACGAAGTATTTCGTCGCTAAAGTAGGAATCCGTCGCGTATGACGAAACATGGTTCTCAAAATTTCATTGCTTTTAAACGCGGCATAAATTATTTCCTTTAGTGTCATGTCTCAGTTGAGTACGTTACATTCGGTTATAATTTCCGCTTCTATTATGATGTCGGTAGAAAAACTTGATGACGGAATTTTCTGTCGCTAAAAGTTGGATTTTTTCACATCCGTCATTATTTTATGATGCATTTTGTCGCTTTTAAAGGGTCCTGCAAAATTTTCTCTTATAAAATCATCACGATGAACAAAAATGACGGATTTGAGAGAGATGTATTTCATAGGGTGCGTTTGATACGTGGGTTAAGACGAGAAGGGAATAACAAAAACTTGTTATCCCACGTTTAATTTTGATGCAACATTAGGTACAGTCCGGGAATGAGCAGGACAACCAAAATAGGTGGAACAAAAATTATGAAGATGGGATAAGGTTGAGTAAATTACTAAACTATCCATGTCAAATTATAATAACCATAAAACCTTTCACAATTCTTTCACCCACGTACCTCATTCGCACCAGTCCTGTTCAATCCAGTCCTATTAGGGTGCGTTTGGTACACTGGACATGATAAGACAGAACAAGACAGAACAAGACAAAGATCTCTGTCCCATGTTTGGCATAACTTTATGTGGAACAGAGTGAGTGGAACATGTCTGTTCCACCTCTACCCCATGGAACATGGTGAAATAAGGTGGAACATACTTATATTTTACCAATATAAATTCAGAATAAAACTTAATTCTCTCCTAAAACATCAAATAGGTCTCCTTTTTACATTTTATTCATTTTAAAAAAAAAAATTATTGTATTTTATGTTTCTTAAACTTTCATTTTATTGTCCTCAAAATATTTTTTTATACGATTTCTATATTTTAATTATTTATGTAATTTATTATATATTAATAATAAAAAATAATGTAGAAAAGAGATAAAAATAAAAATTGAAAACTCCATAAACTTTTTATTTGGCATCATTTTAATTGTTTTGACGAAACTTTCAAATGATATATTTTGTTATAAAAACTAATTATTTTATTATAATTTAATAAAGTACATAAATTAATTATAAACAACTCATTAGGGGTAAATTGGTCATTCTACTTGTTCTGTTTTGTCCAGTTTTATTTTACCAAACGTTGAACAGTTGTTTTATCTTGTCATGTCTTGTCTTGTCTTGTCTTGTCTGGACACCAAACACATCCTTAAGTATTATTTGCGTCCCAAACACACCTTTAGAAAACACTTTAATTTTAATGTTTTTGTTAACTTGTACTGTAGCGACAAAAGGAGGGTCGTAAAACTATTAGCGACTCGACTTTTAGGCGACGCTTTCTTGCCACAAATAAAAATGCAACATCTTTCGTCTTTTTAGTGATATCTTTGAGTCGCAAATGAAGCCTGTTTCGTAGTGTATATATGTTTCGTTTTAACTTTTATACGTATAGGATTTCGAGCAAGTTGGAATGGGGAGTTCTTTACATGCTCGCAAAGGATTCAGAAGGCTTTCTGTCGAAAGAATCGGTAAGACGGTGCTATGACGGAAGTTTATTCGAGCATTGCGCGAAGATGCAAAAGGGCGTTGTCGGTAAAACGACATGACTAAGCTTTCTAGTCGTTCTTTCCCTCGTTATGATCTTGTATTTAGCCAGCTTATTATGATTCAGATTTATTTATTCGATCTTACATCTTGTATCCGGGAGTTCCGTTAGTTCATTCTCGTATTCTATCCATAATAAACAATTTCTAGTCGTATTTGTAAGTTTTAGGATTACTTAGGGTCGTAAAACAACGATGAACCTTATCAACGTTAACGGGTAGTTTTATAGTTATGTTTCAAGTTAGTCGTGGATCGTCACCAAACACGAAATTTTGTTTAACGATCTTAATTATGTTTGAAAATACGTGGTTAGGGTCATCTCTGTATATCGTCTTATTATCGTTTCGGACATATACTTTGAATGTTTACAACTGTTTATACCCTTTAAAGACATACTAGAAGGGTACTCGTGCGATGCAGCAAGATAAATCTCGATTTTAATGTTTAGTGTTTAAACTGTCTCTATCGATAATAATGTTTTTATTTTTGAATGAATGTAAATTTGAAGATATCATAAAAATTTGAAAAAAAAAATAGTCGATATTAGTATCAAATTAACTATTTACTTCTTTAATTCAAAATTTTATTGTAAATTTAATTTAGATTTAATAAAAAATTTGTTTTTGATTTAATAATATTTTTTTATAAAGATAATAATTAAATATTCTGTTAGAACTCAATAATATCTTAATTATATTTTAGGTTTCTAAATTTAAAATGGATGTTTATCATGTATTTGATTATTTTTATCTGTCAATTAGTTACACGAATTTAAAAATGAAGCTTTAATAAGTTGTACTTATGCAAAATTACTTGTAATCTTGAATTTTAAGTAATATAAATCAATAAACAGTATTTTATGTATAAAAAATGGGTTTTAAAAGTTTTTATCAAATGCTTTATAATATAGTATAGATATGAATAATCGTAAGTGAGATCAAGAGAACATTCGAAAAAAAAAAAGAATCAAAGAACCATCCAAAATCGTTAGATTGAGATATTCCAATAGACGTGGTTATAACCAACTTTTAGAAGAAAAAAAATTAAAGATGCAAATTGCATGAAAAAATAACGTACTTTAACTTGATTCATCTTTTTGGTAACGTACTTCTAGAACTTTCATTTTGGTATCCAAATTTTTCTGAACAAGTTTCAGTCGTTTAAAAAAGCCAGCAAGACGTTCAAACCCTGTATCGTCTTCACCAATCTGCACCAAAGTTACGATATGTTCAATTTACGTTTTTAAATCTTCACCTTGTTTTTTCGAAAGCGGAACAGTTATCGTCAAACTCGTTGGAACGAACTAACCGTCGTGTTTTCTCGTGGAAGATCTAATGCAATAGCAAATGGCGGATAATAGAGCTAACGCAGCACCTACGCCCACAACGATTGCTACCGACTTTGCCGAACCACCTGCGACGTCGTTTTCTGTCAAAAGAAATCGAACAAAAGGCTCGAGAAGTTGTATATATATCTTATCGAGAAAATGTCTTTTGCGACAAGGGGTGTCGCTAAACCTCTAATTATGTCGATAAGTTGTATTTGCCGTAAATTACTTGTTTTCGGGTAGTTTGCACTCACAAAAGGTGCATAAATAGAAAGTGTTGCAAATAATTTCTGTTACATATTTTTTTGCGACGGTTTTTTTCATTTTTGTGACGGACAATGCGGCGATGCTTTTTTAATTTGGCATGCAATTTGTGAAGAAAATGATTAACGACGCCACATTCCGTTGCAAAAGACTTCTCTCGAAAGTTAAAAAGTTTTTAACATACGTATATGTGACGGTACCTCGAGAAGGATTCCTGTCACCCTCGTTAGATTCGTTATCACTAAAACTAACAAAGCAATTCTCCAAATAAATTTCCCCCGAATCGGATCCCCGACATTCATCCCGGGCCACTTGAAACGCGTTATTTACGCATTTGCCACACTCGCACCTTTCCAAACTACCCTCACATTGCCCCATCGCGTACACCCCCTCAAGCTTCGTCACACAATGCCCATCACGACTACTCATAACACACCCAACGATCGCCTCAAAAACCGCATTTAGAACTTCCTCCCAACTGTGGAATCGCGCTCTCCTCTGACCGCATTTCTTGTGTTGCAAGTAATCTTCTTGAAGGAATGTGGTGCTGACCAAAGCCCTACCATTGATCTTGCCACCCTCATGCACAAGATCAAGTTCGGGCTTGGGTTCAGGTTTAGGTTGCAAACTCAAGTAGCAACCTTTGAGCTGAACCCTAGCCAGAAAGTTCGAACCACATGATAATCTTGGGATGGCATTCAATATGCAAGTGTGACAATGGTCGTCGGTGAGATCCATTCGGCATTGAAACACGCCAGAGACCGAAAAAGTGTCGTCACCCATAACGGTTTCGTAAAACTTGGTTTCCGAGGATTTTTTGACAAGTTCTTGGAGGAGGGATGACACCAAATTCTGGGGAATGCGAGCTTCGTCTCGGCATTTCTTGTAAACGAAGTTGGTGTAGTGCGAAACAATATCGGAATCTGATGAAACAAAGATCAGTAACGCAAGGTTGAGGAGAACCGATGGCGTAAAATGGAGGATTTTACGTTGTTTCAACACCATCGGATCGACGGGATGCCAAGATCAAGATTTCAAGATTCAAGATCAAGATCAAGATCAAGATTTCAAGATTCAAGATCAAGATTTCAAGATTCAAGCTTGTTGCTTTTGCAAATTTTTGGTTTATGGGTAAGATACTGTTGGAGTTGATGGTTTTATGTGTGGGTTTTCCCACCCAACTCAAACTAATTGCTATTCTTTATATAACATTTTCAAATCTTATAAAATCTAAGTTAATTATTTCATATATGAATCAGACGAGTTCATATGTAAATAAGTTAAATAGTTCATTTGTGAATTACATGGATTCAGATATGAACATATAATTCATATGCACCTGTTTTGTCTCTTATTTGTAAAAGTTATAAAATTAGCTCTCTATCTTCCGCATAAGATGCGATGAATTATCCGGTGCTTCACAATTAAAAACGCAAATATATACTATATTATGAAGCATTTGACAAAAACTCTTAAAAACCATTTTTTATGCGTAAAATATTGTTTATTAATGCATATTACTTAAAACTCAAGATTACAAGTAGATTGTGCGTAAGTACAACTTATTAAAACTCCATATCTGAATTCATGTAACTAACTGCATATAAACATAATCAAATACAGGATAAACATCTCATTTTTAAATATAAAAAATCTAATATATAATTAGGATAATCATTAAATTCTAACAGAAGAATTAATTATTATCTTTATAAAATGTTATATTATCTATATCTATACTATATTATAAAGCATTTTACAAAAACTGTTAAAAACCACATTTTATACATGAAATACTCTTTATTGATGCATATTACTTAAAGCTCAAGAGTACAAGTAAATTGTGCGTAAATACAACTTATTAAAGCTTCATGTTTGAATTCGTGTAACTAACTGCAGATAACATAATCAAACAGAGGATAAACATTTCATTTTAAATATAAAAAATCTAAAATATAATTAAGATAATTATCGAGTTAATACTTAATTATTATCCTTATAAATATTATAATGTTAAACCAAAATAAATTACTTTATTATTAAACCTAAATTAAATTATGATAAAAAATTTAAATTAAAAAAATTACATAAAAAACGAGAATTTTTAAAAAAATTAATTTGATACTAATATCGATATATATATATATATATATATATATATATTTCCAGATTTTTACGAATAAAAACATTATCGCTTTCTCAAAATCACATAAAACCGTATTATATCGACAAAATAAACAAAATATTGTCTCGATGTATCTCGCTGCATTGTACTAGTATCCTTCTAATTTTAATGAAATGAAGGATAAGATCGGTTATCTATTTCTTAAATACTTATTACTTCTCAAATGAAATTAACATTTTTTAACAAACCATAACAAATAAAAACTTGATCTACTCTAAAAAAATGGAAAATTTTCAACCAATTAAATTTACGTTAAAAAGAAAAAGGAAAAGATGAAACCAATCGGGTTCCGATCTACGTTTCCCCTCTCCCGGAGCCACATTCCGGCACCACCTCCCACCGTCTCCGCCACCGATAATCCAATGGAATTTCGAAATGAAGATATTTTTATTTGAAAATTATTTCAATTCAAATAAAAAAATGCGTTGCAGAACGATCTATAAAACAATTGATACCGTTTCATTCCTCAACTAAATTAGGAGTGCTTCAACGGCGGCAATGTCGTCTCGACCACGATCAAAACGCCTCGAAATCACCCTCATTTCCGGCCACGACCTCCCACCAATCGCCAGAAATCTAACCACCTACGCCGTCGCCTGGCTCAAACCCGATCACAAATTAACCACCCAAGTTGATCACGGCGGCCACACTAACCCTAAATGGGATCATAAGTTCGTCTTCAATCTCGATCGGAGTTTCTCAATTTCCGACACCACCACCACCGTTACCTTCGAGATCTACAACGTCGGTTGGTTACGCGATTTTCTCGTAGGATCCGCTCAGGTTATCGTAAGCAATCTCGTGGAGAGAAGATCGAAGAATCATCGACCGGTTACCGTTCAATTGCGTAGGCCAACGGGTATTTTACAAGGGGTTTTGAACGTTGGGGTTAACCTAATCGATCGTTCGAATGATAACGTTGGTCGGAATGTTGTTTCTCGTGATCCGATCGGGAAGATCGGTGTATTGGAGAATGACGAGGATCGGAAGATGAACGATGAGAAGAAGCTTGAGAGATCGAGAAGCGAAAGGACGGCAAAGTTTGGGGATTTTTCGGTAGCGGATGAAGGTGGTGATGGTGACGGTGATCGACGGGTTTTGAGTCGTTCAATGAGTGGGTGTTCCGTGACGCAAATTGGGTCGGTTAATTCGATGATGCGGCCTTTGCCTTCGGAGGTGGTGGCAGCGTTGAAAAACGGGATGTATTCGACAGGAGGGGACGATATCGAGAGCTACGTTTTTAGTGCTGGGACGGTGGAGCGTGAGCCACGGAATGATAAGAAGGATCTAAATGCGATGGTGGCGAAGTGGCGGCATACGGTGATGAATGATAAAACTCCAGTGGTGGATAATCGGAGATTGATATCTTACGACCACGAGCAACGGAGGAAAAAAGGAGGACGAGGACGAGGAGGATTGTTTTCGTGTTTCGGGAACATTAAAGGAAAGGAATTTTCTTTCATATGTGGGAACAACGAACCCGCTAAGAGGAAGAAGAGAAAACCGAAGGCTTGAACCATGGTTCGAACCCTAGGGACAAATAAGTTACATTACGAAAACCACATGATCAGGTCGGGTGAGCCAGTTTTATCTCGATATGAACCGATCACCGAAACCAAAAACCAAAAACCGAGTGTCATAGTGCACGTTTTCGATGGCTAGAACATGTTTATGACGCGCTAGGCGTCATTAAATGGTCATGTAAAATGTTGGCAACCTTTTGTGACGAATGGTGTCGTGAAATATATTTTTGTACTTGTATTGTTCAACTTGGAGCCAAAAGGCATTTGATCTAGCGGTATCGTAGTCTTTGGCCTCCTAATAAGTCAAATGTTCAAACTTCACCAAATATGAGGAAAAAGTGAGTATATTTGTTGCATTTGCCGTATATAATATTATATCCTTAAAAAAAATCAGCCTAATGCATACGTTTCTTTTTTGTTATTATCTTATTATATTGTTGAAAGTTAAGATAATTTTTTTTTGTCTAACTATAGTATTTAATTTATTAATTAACATATATTTGTTTCACAACGTGTCTATTTCATATGTATTCGATTCACATTGTGGAATTTTTTTACGTGTATTTTTTATTTCACAGACACGTCAAAAAGTTTCACGTTATGATCCAAGTACATGTGAAACATATATACATGTTAATCAATATTTTAAATCCTAGTTTTAGATGGAAAAAATCATATAAAATAACACATGATGTACAAATTCTCAATATTATCACAATTTCATAAGTTTTCAAAAGAAGGTCCCAAAGTAATCCGACCAACCCGATAACCCATTGAAAGTTTTAGTGATTTCTCTAAAATTATTTGTATTTTTTTAAATTAATCTGGATATCTAACTTGCTATACGAGCCGACTAATCACAAAGCGACCACCTGCTTTATATGGGTAGTCCGGTTTCACCGCATTTGAACCTCCGTGGCCACAAGGGAATTTTTATTCCTCCTTGGATTTGAACCTATGACCTCCAGATATTTTTAACCTTTGGAGCTCAAGCTTAAACTAATCATGCACTACCCTTATGGTTTATATTTCTCTTTAATGAGGACATTACGAGAAAGTTATATGTAATACCTAAGTATTTGATAAACTTGTATATTCTTTTGAATGATTAATTGTATTTCAAGGAATGTTTTCTTTATTTTTATGTTCACAATATTGATTTTACTTTGTTTAAGAACAACCTGGCCAACCCGACCAACTCGAACGAGTTAGGTTGGGTTGCAGTTTTGTTTGGGTTGGGTTGAGTTGAAAATTTTCAAGCTGCCAACATTGGTTTGGGTTGTTCAAATGCCTTCAACCCCCAACCCATAAGCACACTTAACAACGTTGGGTTTGATGACTGATTTCTGACAATCATACTACTATGGATGAAGTTTATCCAGACAATATTTTTTTAATCTGAAGTTTGTTGGTAATATTGAAAGTTTCCGATATATTATCAATGACCAAGTTTATCAACAAGTTTACTATGTATTCTAGCAGTGTCAGTGGCCTTAGTGAGTCTCTTTTGACAAAATCGACTTAGAACTGCTAATCAACTAATACTGATATACGATGTCGCACACGATGTCGCACGTTATTGCATTTGGAAGGATGTTTTGAAGTCACGTATACAACAAAAAACTTGAAACATATGAAGAGTTCAATCGTAGAGGTATTACAAATATGGGAAGAGTATTTGACGATCAAACATGTCAAGACGCGTCAAAATATTAACGAGTTGAATGATACCATTGATTTAACGGTTTTCAAGTAAATTAGAACAGGTTTTGTGAAGTGATAATTAGGATAATCATTAGTTATAACAAAATATTTAATTTTTTTTGAAGTATATAATATTTATATATGACAAATGCAACAAATAAACTTAGACACCCCCTCCTCACCTATGGTGAGGTTTGAATCCCTAACCTCCTAGAAGGCCAAGGGCTATGACACCGCTAGGCCAAAGGCCCTTTGGTTTAATTATTATTTTTATAAAAATATATTATTAAACAATAAATAAGTTACTTCGTTACTAAATTTAAATTAAATTATAAATAAAATATTAAATTAAAGAAATTACACAAAAAACCATAACTTTAAATAGTAAACTTGATACTAATATAGATATATTTTTTCCCCAAAATTTTATGATATATTTAAATTTATATTTTATTCAAAAATATAAACATTATCGCTTTCTTAAAACTACTAAAAACTGTATTATATCGACATAGATAAATAATAAAACGGAACACTAATATTGAAATATATTTCGCTATATTGTGCGGGCACCCATATAATAATGTTTATAATACGTATGCTTTTGAAAAATTAAGAGTTTTTAGAAGGTACAACTTAAGTGTTTTATAATATAACTAGAAGGATACTCGCGCAATGCAGCTAGATACATATCGATTTTAATGATTTATTTTATTCTTTGTCTATGTAGATGTAATAATACAATTTTATGTATTTTTAATAAAGCAATAATGATTATATTTTTGAATAAAACATAAATTTAAATATATAAAAATTTGAAAAAAAATATATCAATGTTAATATCTAATCAACTATTTAAAAGTTCTCATTTTTTATGTAATTTCTTTAATTTATTTATTTTACTATAATTTAATTTAAGTTTAGTAACTAAATAGTTTATTTTTGGTTTAATAATATAACATTTATAAAAAATAATAATTAAGTATTCTTATAGAATTCAATGATTATCTTAATTATATTTAGATTTTTTATATTTAAAATAAGATGTTTATCTTGTATTTTATTATATATTTATCTGCAGTTAGTTACACAAATTCAGATATAAAGCTTTAATAAGTTGTACCTACGCACAATGTACTTGCAATCTTGAGTTTTAAGTAATATGCATTAGTAAACAGTACTTTACGTATAAAAAGTGGTTTTTAATAGTTTTTATCAAATGTTTTATAATATAGTATAGATAATATAAATTCAGATAATTTAGATTTTTTATCAAACATAGTTGTTAGAGTAAAGAATATAACACCTCCAAAATCTCTATTTTAATATAACTGTTGGAGTTGCTCTAAGATTTTAAAACTTGATCAGTTTATCTAGAAAAAGTGATATAAATTTCCAAAAACGTTTTAAGATTCTATTTTTATTATTAAAATCAAAAGATTTTCATGTGATTATCTATACTATATCATAAAGTATTTGACAAAAAAAAAATTAAAACTCATATCCATGAAGTATTGTTTATTGATGTATATTACTTAAAATTTAAAACTACAAGTAAATACAACTTATTAAATCTTCATTTTTGAGCTCGTGCAACTAAGGATCGGACACCCGGTTCTGTAGAGTGGCACTAATGGTGACTTATTTGTCAACTTTTCCACCATCACCCAAAGAAAACGAAATTTACATAATCAAATATGGGATAAACTTTAAATTTTAAATATAAAAATTTAAAAAATAATTAAGATAATAGATGAGTTATAATAAAATACTTAATTATGTTTATAAAAAATTATATTATTAATAAACTATTTCGTTACTAAATCTAACTTAAATTATATTAAAAAATTAATTACAAAAACTAAAATAAATCAATAAGTTATTACCGGTATAAACTGTTTATTCAAAAATTATAAATTAGAATGATTTAACTTTTTTAAAAATTCATTATTACCGGTATAAACTGTTTATTCAAACATTAAAAAATACTTATTATTAATATCATAACAAAATAAATCAATAAGTTATTTTAAACCCCTTAAAAGTGGTTTTCTTTTTCTTTATTTTTATGGATAAAGCAAATGAAACAGGCGAATCGAAGCCCATTGTATTGTATTGTATGCATACACGATAAATATATAAATCTTGAAAAAGAGATTTGCGTAAATATCGCCATCTTGACCGTCCATTTCATCCAACTCCACGATAATTTCATTATAATTATAATTATTTATAATAAATAAATAATTATTTATTGGATTAAATATTTCTTCCGAATTCAGGAGAAGAAACCGTCAGCTCCAATTCCCTTCACGCAAATCAAAAACCTTTCAATCACACTTCTTATAGGGTTCCTTGTTTTTCAATTTCTCCTCAATTTCACGTCAAACCCATTACTATCTTGAATCAATGAGCAAATCCCATATTTATCTTTGATAAATAAACACACAAAAAAGAAATTGGTAAATCAAGATCTTGTCTAATTGATGGTTTCCTTATTTAATTCATGGTTTCCATGGTTAATCTTGATTCCAATTGTATCTTGGCTGGACCAGTTTGCTTGTTAAAACTTATGAACTCTTTTAACCAAGAACTGAAATCTTGACCAAAACCCACCTCAATTTCCCCTTTTCAACTTGGGTTTTCTTCATATCAATCAAAGAGAATTGGGGGGTTTTTAATAATTTCACACACAGGTGTAAATATAGCAATTGGGTCCTCTTTTCTTGATTTTTCAAAAGGAATTAAAGATTCTGTTGTGTTGTCACTTAGGGTTTAAGGTATTATGATATCTTTTGATGCTTTTGTTTCTTGAAGTTTCTTGTTGATTTAGGGTTTCTTTTGTCCCTTTTCATGTTTGCATGTGATGTGTGTTTTCTGGGTTAGTTTCTGATCCAGATGTTCATACAAATTTAGGGATCTGACATGTTCCATGTTCATGAATCTGTAATTTTCTGCAATCTCTTGTTAGATATGGTTTTGTAACCCTAAATTGATTGTTGGGTAGAATTAGGGTTATGTTGGATCTGTTGGTTTTGATTTTGATCCAAATTTATTGAGCTTTTGAATTGATTATTGTGTTTGTTTTTTTGATTTTTAGAGTTAATTTGGATCTTGTTATAGCCATCTTCAACATCTGGGCGTGAGCTGCATTTTGTAAATTGTAAGTCCTTTGAACTTCAATCTGTATTTGTTATTTCAAGTTTATATGATTTGGGTTCGATTGCTTTGTAGCTTGGTTTGAATTGAATATGCGTTTATGTTATTGTGATTACGATCGGTCTTTGTGTTCTTGGGAGTTATGATTCATTAAGGTTTGAATAATTCTATTACTTTAACATGGCAAAGAGAACACAATTTTAATGGGATCGAAGAAGATTTAGCGGAAAAATGTCAACGATCGAGAGTGGTGTTAGTTGAATTGTCTTGGGAGATATTAAGTCAATAAATAAATTCAAGAAATCAAATACAAATTGATGGTATGAGTTTCTTTATGTTTGTAGTCGTGTTTGTAAGGAGTCCGGCCGTGTCGGAGGGTGTTCAAATGTGAGATATGGAACAGGGCCTCCAAATGTTTGGGGTACAAATATATACATATATATATATATATATACATATATATATATATATATAGGGGTGGGTTCAGTTGCAAACAGATTTTCGGTTGTGAACTGGGGGACAAAGGAGAGCACAACATGTGTCCCCGGTGTCCACTGTCCACATTCAGCATGAATAAACGTTCATGATGAATGACACAACATTCGGCTTCATCATGAATAGTTCATTAACGATCACCTTCATTATTTATACTGAATGTGGATATGGGGAACACGTGTTGCGCTCTCCTTTCTCCCCTATTCACAACCGAAAATCAGTTTGCAAATGAAAATCGGTCAGAGTTGCCGGTCATCAACCTTTTGCGCAGATATAATAATATATGATGTGAATTTTTTTATATTATTTTATTTATTACTCGTCTAGTCGACCTTTAGTCTTAGTACAGGTGTAACAGGCCGTCCAACAAGATTGGAAACGCGAGCTATTTACATTCGAATCTTGCCGGTTTTAGAAAATTGATTTAATTGTTTCTATTTGATGTTTGCTTCCTCTTGTAATGAAATTACCTATTAAATCAAGAAACCATCTTTGGGATTTCTAAAACGAATTCGAAAAAATGTCGTTTTTGGTCAACCGATTTGCATATTTGATGATCGTTTTGCATTTCTTGTTTCATTATCAGAGAATCTTGAATCATCTAAAGAATAAATTTTCACGAATGGGGACGGAACTCATAAGGCGTCATGTCAAAGAAGAGAGCATCGACATTCCCTCAATTCCACCGGGTTTCGAGTCTTTTGCGATAAAGAGTGAAAATGACAGTCGGCTCGCATCCGGTTCTTCGGTCTCCACAAGTGCTTCTGCACTGAAAACAACAGAGGGTGAAAAGTTAAAGAGGTCTCTTAGGCGTAGATCAGGGATAAACTACGGTCGATTTGATTGCAGTTCCGAAGATGATTACGATTCTATTCCATTGAATCAAATTGTAATTCCTTAAACTTGATTCATGTTTCTCTTTTTCGGGTTTTCTCTGTTCTTTGAATATTTGACAGACACAATATTGCTGGTGCAGAGTCAAACTTCAAGATCTCGGCTCCCTAATGGGGTTATCCGTGGCTGCGAAAAGTGTACCAATTGCCAAAAGGTTAAATTGATGCTCGTTAATGTGTTCTTTTTGTTTGAACGCGTGCTAAAGTTCAAAACTTTTTGCCTTCAGGTCACTGCAAAATGGCATCCGGAAGAAGCCCGGGTGCCGAATCTTCCAGAAGCTCCCGTATTTTACCCAACCGAAGAGGTCTGTTAACTCTTTCTTTGGTTCGTTATCTACTCTTTGCCAAGTTAGATTAGTAAACGGATTTCGTCTGTTTCCAGGAGTTTGAGAATACTTTAGAGTACATCGAGAGCATACGTGAAAAAGCTGCAGCATATGGCATATGTCGGATCATACCACCTTCTTCGTGGAAACCTCCATGCCCTCTTAAAGAGAAAAACATATGGGAAAGTTGTACGTTTGCTACTCGTGTCCAGAGGGTTGACAAACTTCAGAATCGGGATTCGTTGAGAAAAATGTGTAGGTCAAATCTCCACAAAAAGAAAAGGAGAAGATGCACGAAAGCAGGGGTTGATCACGAGACTCAGGGGTCGATTCCAGCTGAACCGATGGTTCAAGAAGCTGATTTTGGTTTCGAACCTGGTCCAAGGTTCACTCTCGACGAATTCAAGAAATACGCAGATGATTTCATGGCTCAGTATTTTAGGAAAAACGAGGATAGCTCTGTACTTCAAGATCGGTGGGAGCCCTCGATAGAAAACATAGAGGGTGAATATTGGCGTATGGTTGAGAAACCCACCGAAGAAATCGAGGTATTACTCGGAACAACTTAAAAAACAACGAGCATCTGCATTTTAGGGTTTAAGTTGTTCCATTCTATGGTATTCTCGTCGTGCTTTTTTTTTAATTGTTGAATTATTTGATTTGTGGCAATGTAGGTGCTGTATGGTGCCGATCTTGAAACGGGAACTTTTGGTAGCGGGTTTCCGAATACGGCTTCTCAAGTTGCGGGTGCGGATGAAAAGTATGTTAGATCCGGTTGGAACTTGAATAACTTCCCCAAGCTTCTCGGGTCGGTGCTCGCTTATGAAAGTAGTGATATATCGGGTGTTTTGGTCCCGTGGTTGTATATCGGAATGTGCTTTTCATCGTTTTGTTGGGTAAGTGAAAGAAAATACTTCATTTGTGTTTGGAGTCTCGTAGTCCACGTGTCTCGAAATGATTCCGTAGGTTCACTTTGCACATAAAGGCTTAAATTGTCATTTAGTTAATTAAAGACTGTAATATTACACATTTCTAAAACCGGTTGATTTCTCGACTCATTTTCGTCCTGCACTCTTTTCTGAAATGCAGCATGTTGAAGACCATCATTTATATTCGGTGAATTACATGCATTGGGGTGCTCCAAAGATGTGGTACGGTGTACCGGGAAAAGATGCCGTTAAATTAGAGGCGGCTATGAGAAAACATTTGCCGGATCTTTTTGCCGAGCAACCCGATTTGCTTCATAAGCTGGTGAGTCGTCTTTCGAATCTACATTATGAACGAAAAGCTTTCAGCATATATCTAAAGATTCAATAAATCATATACCCCCGTCATGTTACCAAAATGTCGTTCAATAAACATTTTGTGAAAATTTATAATGTTTAGTGAAAATTCAGGTGACACAACTTTCTCCATCGATACTAACATCCGAAGGAGTTCCTATTTATCGATGCATCCAGAATTCGGGAGAATTTGTGTTGACGTTTCCCCGATCATATCATTCGGGGTTCAACTGTGGCTTCAATTGTGCAGAGGCTGTGAATGTGGCTCCGGTTGACTGGTTTCCTCATGGGCATAATGCGATCGAGCTATACCGTGAGCAGGGCCGGAAGACGTCAATTTCTCATGATAAACTGTTACTCGGGGCTGCGAGAGAAGCCGTGAAAGCTCAGTGGGAAATCAATTTACTACGAAAGAATACGCCTGATAATTTAAGATGGAAAGTTGTTTGCGGGAAGGATGGGATCCTATCGAAAGCATTTAAGGTAACCGTCTCTCTCATACGTATACATATATATAGTCGTGTTGAGAACAGTAACTAAATAAGAGAACATGATGATGGCCAAATTACATTTCTTAGCGGTTTTTCTTATGTATAGGAACGGGTAGAGATCGAGCGTGTAAGGCGAGATTTTCTTTGCAAGACTTCTCGGGCGATGAAGATGGAAGCCACTTTCGATGCTACTAACGAGAGAGAATGCAGCGTATGCTATTTCGACCTGCATCTCTCGGCTGCAGGTTGTCAACGATGTTCACCCACCAAGTATTCGTGCTTGAATCACGTAAAGCAGTTTTGCTCGTGTCCATTGAGCTCGAAGTTTTTTCTCTTCCGTTATGAGTTGACTGATTTAGCAATTCTGGTCGAAGCTTTAGAAGGCAAACTAAGCGCAATTTACAGATGGGCAAAACTCGATCTCGGACTCGCCTTAACTGACCACGTGTCCAAAGATCGCTCACGATCCTTAGAGTCGGCACCCAAAGAGCAAAACAGAATCCAAGATTTCTTGAACCCGGCTAACGTTTTGCGAAAAGACGAAACCTTGAAATCCGGTTATCGTTGCAAGAAGGAATTTTCGGCAAACAAACGTTCATGTGGCGGAAACGATGACGTTATAACCCTTAGCAATGATGAAGGCGAGGATTCATCCACAAAGGATGTTTCTTGCAAGATCGACGAACCTGTCGTGGCTGACGTCAATATCGCATCAGGTTCTGTTTTTCCTGCTCTTGGGTCCCTCCAAAAATCCGTTTCTTGCCATCGAGTTCCATTGGAACGTACGGATGCTTCCGAGATGTCTCGTGATCACTCGAGCATAAAAGAGACCGATGGTTTAAAAGATAATGTAGAAATTGCGTCTCCCGCCCGAAATAATCTCGAAAGATGCCATCGCCATAAGGGTCCTCGTATCGCTAAGGTCGTTCGAAGGTTAAATTGCAAAGTTGAGCTTCTAGAATTTGGAGTACCGCAATCCGGAAAGTTATGGTGCGATAACCGTGCCATTTACCCGAAAGGTAAGTTCCCCTTTGATTTGGATTTGAGTGCACGGAAATTATCGAAGAAAATGTGATAAACGTTCGATTTGTGCAGGATTCCGAAGTAGGGTCAAGTACACAAGCATTTTCGATCCCACAAATACATGCTACTACATTTCGGAAATCGTGGATGCGGGATCGGATAGACCTTTATTTATGGTATTGAGAATCGTTTTCTCTTTTCAATCTCGCTGCAATATGCAAATTCTGATATCGTTGTAGTTTAAGCTCGCTTACTAAGCCCTAACCCCGAAACCCTAAACTGAAACAGGTTTCCTCGGAGAATTGTCCGAGTGAAGTATTTATTAACTTATCAGCTGCGAAATGCTGGGAAATGGTGAGGGAGAGAATAAACCTTGAGATCTCGAACCGACGTAAGCTGGGAAGATTAAAGCTTCCACCTTTGCAACCTCCGGGAAGTCTCGATGGCATGGAAATGTTCGGTTTCTCCTCACCGTTCATCTTGCAGGTAATCTTGGACGTGCGGTTTATCGTTTTTACTATTCCTTTAAAGTGTGTTTGGGACGTAGACGGGACGGGACGGGAAGTCGGCGGGTGAGAGCATCTTCCACAATAGATTCTCTATAATTTCCTTAAAATCGAGAACCAAAAGTTAATATCTCTAAAAATTACACTCTTAAGGGGTCGTTTACCAAACGCTTACTCGGGTAAGCGCTTACCAAGTCATATTACCTCATCGGATGAATATGGTAAGGACCAATAATCTAACCTGGTAAGAGCGAGACAAGGACCAAGAGTCTTACGTGGTAAGTGAGGGCGACGACTGTTACCATGGTAAGCACTTACCGGATAAATTGTTGCGTATTAACGAATTGTTATAATGTCGTTTTCAGGGCATTCAATCGTTAGATAGGCACGGTGTGTGCAAGGAGTATTGGAAATCACGGCCATTCCATACTCAATCTCGTGACATGTGTCGGGATTCGTCCATAGATACGCAAGATCCGAACAATCAAGATGCCGGCCAAAACAGTTTGGCCATAGGAGCCGATACCATCATATCTAGCATGCTCAAGAAAGCAAATTTAGATGAACTAAACATGTTAATGAGCGTATTGACGAATAATGATTCAACGTGTTATCAGAGCAGGGTAACGAGTGTTCTCAAAGAAGAGATCGCAAGACGACGAAGTTGATGTTAACGTTTTCGGATTTTGTAAATGTTTCGGTTTTGGTTAGGTTAGTGGTAGAGTTAGTAAAGCACCACATATTTTAGATAAATTAGTAGGATACTCACGTAATGCAGCGGGATATATCTTTATTTTAATGTTCCGTTTTATTTTTTTTGTCTCTATCGATTTTATGTGGTTTTAGAAAACGGTAATGTTTTTATTTTTGAATTAAATATAAATTTAAAGATATCATAAAATTCTGAAAAATATATGTCGATATTAGTATCAAATTAACTATTTAAAAGTACTATTTTTTTGTGTAATTTCTCTAATTCAATTTTTTTATTATAATTTAGTTTAAGTTTAATAACGAAACAATCTATTTTTGGTTTAATCATATAATTTTTTATAAAGATAATAATTCAATATTATGTAAGAATTCAATCATTATCTTAATTATATTTTAGATTTTTTTATATTTAAAATGATGTTTATCATGTATTTGATTATATTTATTTGCAGTTAGTTATACGAATTCAAACATAAAACTTTAATAAATTGCACTTATACACAATCTACTTGTAATCTCGAATTTATGTAATATACATTGATAAACAGTATTTTTATACATAAAAAATGATTTTTAAATTTTTTTATTTAGTATTCTATAATATAGTATAGATGATTTTGATGTGGATATGAGAAATATTTAGAAATAATAAAAGATTATTTTAGAATAAACAAACAATTACCTCATTTTTACTAAAATAAAATATTTTAAATTTAGAACTAAACAAATAATACAAAAATAAACATTTTTTTTAATTTAATATGTCATCCGTCTTGTTTTTAACATAATATGTGAACCAACTTTAGATTATTTATATGGGTTTACATATGCATCTTTAAATGAATTTTTTTTTTTAATTTTGTTTCAATGATTCACATATGAACCTTCTCAGGTATTTGAACCTCCCATCAAGGAGTATTATTGTCTAAAAATTAAATTTACCTTATCAGATATAGCTTCTAATATATCAAAAAATACTCTTCAACGTAGTCTAAAGAGATTATGCATGAGTTATGATGTTTGTTTGTAACAGACAAATTAAAATCAGATCAAACCGAGCTAGTAAATTCCTCTTGAAAGTAAGGTCATGTTCCTTTCTTTTTCCACCAATCACATAAAGCCACATCATCAATTTATTAAACATGAAGAATACAAAGATAAATTAAACAAATTTATGTTAAATAGAATAATGGCCGGTAGACCAAAGGATTTCAACACAACAGGTTTTTTTGGAACTCCTTGGAATTCCAATATTTAGAACTGATAATACCAAATGAAAAAGTTCAATATAAAATTCATTGGATGTATGTACACATTAACAAACCAAAATATGTCAACTCTGTTTTATTTGTCCCCGAAATAATCAAGGAATGTGTCAATATTACGTTTTTAGTTATAGCGTTAATTAAGAATCAGGGTATTATATACTACGTATAACTAGGGTACAACGATCAACAACAGTTAGAAACGTTTTTCATATTACTTCCGCCCAACTTTAGCCTATCGAAAAGTAACATTTATTCTCCTGAGTTTTACCTTTCAATCGCGAGGTTTCTATCGTGCTCCAAATCTCATACTCTAGCTCCCATAAAAGGCTGCAAAACATAAGCAAATAAAGACCAACGTTCGGGTATGAGAAGATGTATACAAACATGTCCTCGCTAATAGAAATTTGAATGTTTAAACTTGTGGGTTTTGTTTGAAATCTTTTTAATCTATTTGAATGTTCTGTTTTATTCATCGACCTGTATTTCCTTAGTTCCGTAAAATGTTCATTAATATGTATCTTCATCTTGAATTTGTGTTTGAATTTGAATTTACATGTATATTCGAAGAATGAGATCAGGGTTTTGAATTGAGAAAGATCAAATAGACTAAAGTTGCGCGGAGGTAAGATGAAAAACGTTTCTAACCGTTGTTGATTGTTGTACCCTAGTTATACGTAGTATGTAATACCCCGGTTGTTAATTAACCCTATAACTAAAAACGTATTATTGACACATTCCTTGATAATTTCGGGGACAAATAAAACGGAGTTGGTGTATTTTGGTTTGTTAGTGTGTACATACATCCAATGAATCTTATATTGAGTTTTTTCATATGGTATTATATGGTTTATAAATCTCGTAATTACAAGGAGTTCAAAACAATTTGTTATCCGAGATCCTCTGTTCCCTCCTTGTCCCACCCGTCATTATTTTTATTTAACGTAAATTTGTTTACTTTATCTTTGTATTTTCCATGCTTAATAAAGTGATGATGTGGCTTTATGCGATTGGTGGAAAAGAAAAGGAACATGACCTTACTTTCAAGAGGGATTGACCAGTTCGGTTTTTTAATATTTTAGTCTTCAATACAAACAACCACTATAACACATGCATAATCTTGTTAGACTAAGCTAAGTAGTATTTTTGATATATCGAATGCTTTTTATTAAGATTTATGTTTACAAGTTTATTTCTTCTTGTTATGGACCATCTCGTGTGCTCCCTCCATTTGGAAAGAAGTGATTGTCAATATTTTGATTTTTTGCTACACCGTTTAATAAAGACAAAATATAAGAATCTTGGCTACTCAAATCAGTTTAATAATTGTTAACAAGTACTTATGTCAAAACAATCATTTGAAAGCCCCAACCACAAAGCTTAGGGAAATTTTGACGGTCAAAAAGCAATTTCTCAATGTGCATGCAAGACGACCAAATGGTCAATAATTAAAGAACAGTATATACATGATCTACGTCATGCTTCTGAAGAAACCCGGTGACGATCTTGGCACCAAAAGTATACGAAACTCCACGATCATTCATTCCCCATCCTTTGACATCTTTAAATGGATTCGCCAAAGATCACAGAAGAAACCATCATTTCGTACGTCATAGGACACCTCAAGTTTTTAATTTGATCAAGTTATTGAGGTCGGGCGAAAGGCCTCCATGCATGCACAAAATCTTTTCATCAATGAGAACAGTCACAAGTAAGCAATTGAGGCAATTTCCATTATTTAAAATATTAAATCTTCTTTTACATTCATCATGGAATCCTTATATCCGATTTATGGAAGTATATTCATCATGGAATCTTTCTTCTGTCTGGAAACCATGAATAAGCTTCCATCAATCGGATATATGGATTCTATGATGAATGTAAAAGAAGATTTAATATTAAATAACAGAACATTTTCCCTGACTGCTTCAATTGATTACTTGTGACCGCTCTCCTTGATGAAAAGATTTTGTGCATGCTTAAAAGCCTTTCACCCGACCTCAATAACTTGGATCAAATTAGAAACTTGAGGTGTCCTACATACGTACCAAATTATGGTTTCTTGTGTGATCTTCTTTGATCAAATCCATTTATAGATGTCAAAGGATGGGGAATGAATGATCGTGGAGTTTCGTATACTTTTGGTGCTAAGATCGTCACCGGGTTTCTTCAGAAGTATAACATAGATCATGTTTATATTGTTCTTTAATTATTAACCATTTGGTCTTCTTGCATGCACATTGAAAAATTGCTTTTTGACCATCGAAATTTCCCTAAGCTTTGTGGTTGGGGTTTTCAAATGATTGTTTTGACATAAGTACTTGTTAACAATTACTAAACTRATTTGAGTAGCCAAGATTTCTTCTGTTTTGACTTTATTAAACGGTGTATCAAAAAATCAAAATATTGACATTCAACTTCTTCCAAATAGAGGAGCACAGTAGATGGTTCATGACAAGAAGAAATAAACTTGTAAACATAAATCTKAATAAAAAGCTTCTGATATGTCAAAAATACTCCATAACGTAGTCTAAATAGATTATGCATGAATTATAATGTTTGTTTGTAACAAAGACAAAATCAGATCAAACSGAGCTGGTAAATTCCTCTTGAAAGTAAGGTCATGTTCCTTTCCTTTTCCACCAATCGCATAAAGCCACGTCATCACTTTATTAAGCATGGAGAATACAAAGATAGACGACAGAAAACATCACCATTACTTAACTCGGCCAAAAAAAATTGTTTGTGAATACTTATAATGCACCACAAGCACATTGTTCGATTAGAAACTGCAGAGACAAATGATTCAGCCAGGCAGCAGCCATCTTACAACTCCACAAGCTAAAGAAAAAATTCAAATTGTTCCCCTGGAATCTGACCATGAACAAAACCATCAAACAGAAGAAACAAACTTTAAACGAGTTTGGGAACTAATAAAAAGCAAAAGTAACTATACTTAACAGTAAGAGGTCATTTACCTGATGCTTACCCGGTTACACTTTACCAATAAGCACCTACCGCTAAGACTCAACACTTTCCCTTGATTACCGTGTAAGATTCTTGATCATTGCGTTGCTTTTTACCAGGTAAGTTTCTTAATCCTAGGCATATCCGGTAAGCATTTAGTAAACAAACCCATAGTCTCTATCATAAACTTGAAACTTATTCAAAAATTGTGGTTAGAGACGAGTAGAAATCACAATACACACAAGCAATCATTAAAGCATAACATGTGGTCTATTAAAAACGCCATGGAGCCATTTACTAAACACTTATCTGGAACATTAATTGAGAATCTTACCCGGTGCATCCGACCCAACTAGTCCGAGGCCGGGCCCCAATTTGTCATCTGTGCTTGTAAGTTGTAACTAAATACTAGCAATCAGATTTTAAAAAAGGATAAAGAGATGATTTCATTTACTAATTTTAAAAAAATAAGTGCATACTCATCGTGGCTCATTGCCCTGTTCCATCCCCCCATAACCTCACCTCCCCTCCCCCTGTTTCTCCTCTCTTACCATATTTACAAATGGTTACTTATCCCCGACTCTCTCTAAACAGTTGCAAAACAAGAAGAAATTTACCAAAACTCATGATGAAAACAGAGAAATTGGAAACGGGTCATTTACAAAACACTTACTTGGTAAGTGCTTACCAGATAAATAGCCTCATCGGATGAACATGAGAGCCAAGAATCTTACCGGGCAAGAGGCATGAGAATGATCATTATTTATCAATAGAATAATTTAGGTTTGTATGTATTACTTGGGACTTGTTCGGCTGATAATGGCCTCGAAGAATCCTTGCATAACATTTTCGGCAACAGATCCTTCGCTTCTGGTGAAACGGACATGAAAATTGTCGGAGGAAACCTTAGGTTCCCTCGCAAAACTGCCTGAAACGTCTCGACCGGCGTTTCCCCGTAGAACGGAGGACATCCGGCCAACAATATGTATAAAATCACACCAGCACTCCAGACATCAACCTTCTCGTTGTACTCCCTCCCCAACAAAACCTCCGGTGCGACATAATGCGGCGTCTCAACCACTCCGGTCATCATACCGCTCTCATTCATCCCGAAACACTCAGCGGATCCGAAATCCGCCAGCTTCAGTTTCCCCGTTGAATCAAACAACACATTATCCAGTTTGATGTCCCCATGTGCGATACCAAGTCCATGACAATGACTAACCGCTTGAATCAACGGGATGAAAATCGAAGCCGCTTCCGATTCCGAAAACGCACCTCCGCGTTTCGAGAGTCATCGAAGAGATTCGGTTCGTCACAGAGATCCATAACCATATGGAGCGAATTCTCATCTTCATAGAGACGATGAATCTGGACGATGCTAGCATTAGGGTTCGAGTACGAAAAAAAAAATAGGGCTCCATTACGAAAACAAAATCGGGGTTCGAAACTCTCTAAAAGAGTGATTTGGGGTGTATTTATAGTTAAATTTAATTACATTTTGGTCCCTGTGGTATTTTCATTGTGGTCCTTAAACCTTATTTATTAAACTAATGGTCACCGAGGTTTTCAATTTGTTTTATTTCAGTCCTTCTGACCAATGTCATTAAAAATAACGTTAAGTGAGGCGTTTTGTCTTCTGATTTATCATCATGGTTATTTATCTAAAATACCATTAATTTAAAGGAATTTTCTTAGGTGGAAAACTATTTTTTTAATTTTTGACCCAGGTTTTCTCAATAATTTCTCGTTAGATCCCCACCAATTAAAAAAAGTATCTTGAAATCAACCAAAACAATAAAAAAAAGTTCTTCAAAATCGATAAAGAAGACTTAAAATATCTCTTGAAACAGTGGAATTAGGCTAAAAACACATTGGACGACTTTACAGACCTTTAATCTACCTTAAAGATGTCCCCACTTGGCAAAAAAATTTGGATCTGCCAATGGGTGTTCACAACAGTTCACAAGATGTTCACCTTACTCTCGACAAGGTGTTTGTGGTAAGCGCTTATCAGGTAAATTGTTGCATGCGATGTCGTTTTGGTGGACTAAAATCTTACTTAGTAAGTAAATAATAGTGTTAAATTTTATTGGTAAACAGTTACCGGTAAGTATTTGGTAAACGACCCCTAACTTTAACCAACTATGCATAAGGCGCAATCTCTACTTAGAGCATCCACAATGGACGACTTTTTCATCGAAACTTTTTCTAAAAAAACGGGATCCACAGGCAAAAAGACGGAGTTGTTATGTCAGGAGCTGTTTCACAAGCTTAGGTGGCCAAAAAGCCGTAGACATTCTTAGTGTCTCTTTGATAAAGTGTATACGTATTAACGAATTGTTATAATGTCGTTCTCAGGGCATTCAATCGTTAGATAGGCACGGTGTGTGCAAAGAGCATTGGAAATCACGACCGTTCCATACTCAATCTCGTGACATGTGTCGGGATTCGTCCATAGATACGCAAGATCCGAACAATCAAGATGGCGTCCAAAACAGTTTGGCCATAGGAGCCGATACCATCATATCTAGTATGTTCAAGAAAGCAAATTTAGATGAACTAAACATGTTCATGAGCGTATTGACGAATAATGATTCAACATGTTATCAGAGCAGGGTAACGAGTGTTCTCAAAGAAGAGATCGCAAGACGAAGAAGATGATGTTAACGTTTTCGGATTTTGTAAATGTTTCGGTTTTGGTTAAGTAAGTAGTACAGTTAGGGACCGTTTATTAAACACTTACCCAGTAAGTGCTTACCGGTAGTCAAAAACCTTACAGCCTAGTGGTAAAGGCTTGGGCATGGCATAGTCATGAACCCGAGTTCGAGCCCTGGGAGGGGAGKGTTGGCGACATTTAAGTGGGGCCATGTTTAGCCTCCAAAATTGCCGGGGATTAGTCGGGCTTTGGCCCGGACACCCTTACAAAAATAAAAAAAAAGTGCTTACCGGTAAAATTTAACACTATTATGTACTTACCGGATAAACAGGGCCGGTCCTGAGATTTTTGGTGCCCACGGCAAAAAGTCCAAATGATGCCCAATTAAAAACATCCAAGTGTGGTAATTTACAATTGTCTAGCTTTTTCCTTCATAGACCGAAAGATCCATTAGTGTTTTTTGTTCATAAGTATGATCTTATAGTTGAGTGTTTACTTTAAAATAATATATCAAGGTTTCTTTAATCAAGTTGTTATAGCCCTTGCGTTTAAACACCAACTCATCTACTTGTCCAAAACCAATATAAGGAGCATCATAAGACTAACTCATCTACTTGTCAGGTATTTGAACCTCCCATCAAGGAGTATTATCGTCTAAAAATTAAATTTATCTTTAAACTGAAGCATTTGAAGTCCTTCGCACGCCACAAGAGTAATAAGATTTTTTGATAACACGATCGATCGATAGATTCACAATGTGAAACAAATGTTCAGATGGTTCAAAAGGCTCATGGAATGCAAGATCTTATAACTTTGTTACAAAAACATGATGTCTCCAAAAATAAAAAGGTGGACACATGCAATGAGTCCATACCCAACCAGTCAACCATCAAGACCAGTTCGGAAATGGTGTGTACTGAGATCGCTCTTATATTTCGTCTTCTTCAAAGGGATCTCGTTCAGGATAATCTCCAACCTGAATAAGGTCACCATTTAGAAAAGAAAGGAAAAAACGAGAAGGTGCATGAGAACTAACAGGAAAAACAAGAAAGCGCATGAAAATAAGTGTCCATTTGCCCGTTGTTTTAAGACACAGATGGCGGCGCCAGTCATGAGAGTAAGTGTGATGGTCGAGGGGCTGAGGAGGACGCAGGGAGAGCATTTGAGAATGGACATGGCAGCCTTAGGGGCTATTTGGTTGGTTTTCCGATAAGTCTTGTATAGATTAATTTGTCTGTATAATAGCAATGTTTTGAATCGGGAGGGGTTTTTCATAAATGGAAGGAGTGTGTCTTTAATTAGAAGCTTACTGAATAAGCCACTTTCTATATCAATAAGTTACTACCAAACAGTCATGTTTAGCTGACCGAATAAGCTGCAAGTCACGAGCCCAAGCCCATCAGGGTTATTAGGGCTGTTAATAAATAGGGGTAAGAGGTGATAGGCAGGGATTGTTGAATCTTTCACATTTAGGATATGTCCTGTAATGTCACTTTGAATTGCATTTCAATACAAATCCTTTAAGGAAGAGGATGGGGGGCCGTGTTACCGCTACTTTTTAGAAGTCTTTAATGTGCACCCGCTTTAGTTCGATGTGTGCTTCCCTAAGTTAACAAAAGTGGTTGCAGCCTACCGGTAGTGTCATTGCATGTCACATCAATGGTTACAAGTTCATATCCCTTTGATTCTCTTTTAATTTTTGGTAACAACGGCAAAAAAGGAAAAAGAAACCACTTGTTTGTAATTTTTAATTAATACCGTTCTTTTATAATTATAATTATATTTTATTTTATTTTATATTGTATAATGCCTAATTATTTTGTACCGCCACTTGAATTTTTTTCCAGATCCGCCTCTGGAGGACATGAGTTCTGATACGAGTTCTTGGAGACGCAGTACTAGGGTAGCAGAGTCCTACGTTAGATGATGTAGGGATTGTGCGTGTTTACTTACTTCGTATATCTTTCTGTATGCCCTGTTCCTATTTCGTCTATTCTACTGCTTACTATATGCTAACCTATTTGCGTTGTAAACCTACAAAAAGCGTGACTTGTAGTCCTCATTTTGAAAGAAATTATGCTAACCTTTACTTTGTCGGGTCTAACCATGGCACCGTGGAGTGGGGGGCACTTGAAGAATCTTGTCCCTTTCACCCTGTCAACATGAGCAACAATATTTCGACTAAATAGGAGTAAGAGAATTAAATACCCACGTCTATTACCGAAGAAAAATAAAGTCAGTCAAGATAGAACAGTCCACATATTAAAAGCAAAAACCTAACTAATCAGTATATTGCACTTGGAGATGGTCGGGGGAGGGGGAGATGTGCACAGACCTGACCTCTACATAGGACGATTATGTTCAAAAATTGTATCAAAAACAAGTCTCATGTGCATCATCACATATTCACATGTGAATGAGGGAAGTTGAAGTATGCACAAGTAGGTCCCATGGTATATTTCAAGTGTCACATATATTATACTCCCTCCAATTTAGGACATACAAGTATTTTATTAAAAAAAGGTAATATAAAAGAACTTTACCTCATATCTAGCAACACTGTTTAGGGGCTGTTTACCAACATTTTTATTGGGTAAGCTCTTATTGTATACCTTATCGGGTAAGATTGTTGGTAAACAACATTATTTCTGGCCACGTTGGTAACGGTAAGCGTCGACCCGGCACAAGTCATGGCGCTCATTTACTAAGATTCCCGGTCAGCAAAAATGGTACCGTAAGATTGTTGGTCTCTTACCCGGTAAAAGGCAATAAATGTTTAGTAACAGACATTATGTGTTTGGTAAACAACTCCTTAGATTAATTCATCTCATCCTTCCATAACTATATCAAAATGTTGGTGCTGGGCCGCAAGTGGTGGTGGTAGGACAGGCAGAGGTGGGTGGTTGTGGCAGTGTGTGGAGGTTGAGGTTACAACATGAAAATGAAGATGAATTAATAAATCAGGTTGAAGAAGGTAAGCAATTATCATAATGCCCTTAAAAATAGCATGTGACATGCACATGACAAGACTTGATGAAAAAGCATCAACGATGTTGACTTTCTGTCGGCGGACAAATTTTGTCTTCTTCAAGGAGATAAAAATGACGAAAGTACACCGTCTTGTAGTTTCAGGTACCAAAACACTAGGGGTTGTTTACTTACAACTTAACGAGCTTAATAGTCCAGGCGGCTTATTCACTCAGCCATACAGGAGTGTTTCTTTATGGCTTAATCATAAAGCCATGAAGCCAAAATGGCTATATGGAAGAAGCCACGACCCCCTTTTTCCGAAAAAGAAAAAAAGCCACGACTCCTCACTTGTCTCCATTAAGCCACCTCAGACAAATTAATACCAGAAATGGAACAAGAATAACCCAACCCTCTCTCTTTGCCTCCCTCAAACCCATCGGTCTCCCATTTCTAAAACAAACAAATTTATCACAACTTAACCCATACAGGGATTAATGGGAAAAAAAGTAAACAACCCCTAACAAATGACTATATTGAGCCAACCATGCGAGAAAAAATGTCAATGGACTAAAACTGCAGATTAACAAATAGTCAAGGGAAAAAATTGTAATTTTAATTCAAAACTTATTACAGAATCTACAGCAGCAAAACAATCAGAAGATTGTCCTCGGATCCTAGATTAATATCCAGCTGTACACTGTATATATATAAATAGAGATTTATATTTTATATTCAACTATTCGGTTGGAGCAAAATACTTGAAGCACTGTAGCTTGTTATTAGTGATAAGTATGAACTACAGAACATGCATGCAGAGTATTTTGCACCCAAACCAGGAAAAAAGTAACGATATTTAGTGCTCACTTACATGCCATCATGTTTGCCCAATGGTTCATCATATTGAACTCCAACCCAGAAGCCAGGTCCAAGTGTTTCCGCCCTACCCACAAATTTCACAACACCCCTTTTTTCCCCTGGTTCAACTTGACACCTATCTCCGACCTATATTGGCACAAAAAAACAAAAAAAAAACTTTGAATCAGATCATAGTAATCATTTACATGCATAAGTACACTTCATTGAGGGCAAATAATGGAATCTTGTAGGACCAAACCAATAACATCAATTTGTTTGAGATGATGATAATGGGCAAATAGGTAATTTTAACTTGGAATTTGTTGTGCAGTATAATACAAATTTAGTAATTTCTCCAGCCAAAATTGCATTTTGTCTACTTCTCACATAATTTAAGTAAAATGTTTGCCTATCTGTCAAAAGGATCTAAAATACCCTTTAAATAAAGGAATCTTGTAGACCCAAATCAATCTCATCAATTTATTTGTAAAGATGATAATTGATAATACCAAAAAAAAGAAATTGGGGTAATTTTTTATTGAACATCCAAAAAGGGAAGTTCTCAATTTTCTCAGGATAGAGAAAGTATGACAAGCTCTGTGGTGATGCAACTTCTAGTGCCAACAGAAAAATGCTTATAAATAACGAAAGGCCAACATACCTTGGTATTTGCACAAATTTCTTTCATATAATCATCATTTATCTGCTCAGACATGCAAAAAAATTAACAGTCAAACAAACAGCATTGCAAGCTAGTATTTCTAAAGTACGAGTCCATCTTTGATCTTTTCATGAAACTACCACCTTTTTTTTATTAGATCACAGGTTAACTATCGATGATGAAGATGCCAATGAAGTTTCAATTTCATAAACAATATACAAGCCTGTCAACTTATGTCCACACAATTACGTGACATTAAATCACAAACATAAAGATTAATTAGGGATATCACAAACCGAAACTAACATATATAATCAATGTGTATATAGCAGTACTGCATTTGAGGGGAATTTGAACAGACAATATGACTATGAAGGGGATGAAAATCTAATCGGAAGGCTCACTTTAGATCCCTGAGCAGAACTACTTTGAGGTACAAGCTTCTCCTTAAACTTTCTGTATGTACCTGCAAACATTTGCAAGAAAATGATGAGTTAGATCAACTTGGAATTGTTTTAGCAGAAGCATGCAACTTGACCAAAAAAAAAGTAACTGGTGTGGCATCTTGACAACTTATAAGGAGGTACAAAACTGATATGTTACATAAGACAATAAATACATAAAAACAGTCCTTATAAATAAATATATATAGGTGAATATATATATATATATATATATATAAGAGTGTGCACGTTCTGTTGTAGACATGCCATGTTAAAAAGAACTTCAGCATCCCATCATCAACTAGTTATAACTTATAAGAGAATGTTTTCTAACAGACTGATAAGAAATAAGTTTATCATAAAGACACAAACAATCAGGGAATTCATGTGGCAGCCTTCAAGTATGCAAACTAAGATTTCTTTTAGAGAATTACCATCAAGTTTGTCATATGCTTCATCAGAAATCTTGTATTTCTCCACCAGTGAAGTATCCTCCAGCCAACCACCAGATGTTACAGATGATGGATCAAGATCTATTACATGCACGCGATATCTACAACGTATAAAAAATGAAAACTAATTTAAGCAAGAAAAAACACAAGCTAACGTGTGTGCGTATACACTGATGTAAGCAGAAAAACGAGAAACGATTCACACTATGTTATGGTAGAAAAATCAGTAAAAAGAGAGACTGTGAAGGAATCCCTGTTGAGCAGGAAGAAAAGCACAAAGAATGTTTGGATAAAAGTTTTTAATTATATCTATTGAGAGATGGATATAGGGTCCGTAGCGGTGGAGTGACAGGATTGGAGGAAGAGGGATTCTAGTTGTAAGAAATCTAATGAAACTCTCACTGGAATTGAGATATTTCAACCAAATGTATACCAGATATTAAAGAAACCAAAAACCTGTTTCACTTGGTATAGGAAGGGACCCCTATGTAGAAACTAGAAAGTGAAGAGAATGGGCCAGAACAAGTCCCATACTCAACCTAAGCTAACATTAATCTGTGAAGGAAGCATGTCATTAGAGGTTCCTAGTCCCTGCAAAAATCGAAGGAAATTACCATTGCGATATTGGGTTCAATACGAATAAAAAGGAAGAAACAATACAAACACAACCAAACCTATTACTGAAGTTTCTATAGTACATTTTCTATCATATTCTTCAAAATCCTGAGTTCTGACGGCTAGAACATTGGACATCGATCACTTATAAATTGAGATTACACCAGGAGAAAAGTTTCCAAACATCTCACTAATTTATAGGGACATGGCAGGTAGACACGTCCTTATACTTGCATAACATACAAGGGGACTTGAATTTTTATATTTTTTATATTTTTTATATTTAATTCTCAACATGTTTTGAACCTTTATGTACATCGATGCCTAAATGTACAGATATACCCTAAAGATCGCTAGGTCTAGGGTACATTACCAAGAATGTCTCAAGCACTTCTTTAACCATTCAAAAAAAGTTCACGAAAGCTTTTTCACAAGCCGGGGTTTTTTCACGGGAAGGGCCTCTCCATCCCTTGGGATAGAGATCAGGTCTTAGTATACTGGGTACCTTTGGTTTGGTTTATCTCCAGGTGTAGGCTGACCCATTCCATCAAACATCAAGGATCAACCGAATATCCAAACAGCACTGACATATTAATATAAGCAGAATACATATTTATTAGTTAGTCATGAAATGGACATGGTTTCCATCAAATATAAAAAGAAGCATTGAAAAGAACACTTTCAAGACTAACCCGTCTAGTGGAGAATAGAAGCCAAGAGGTCTCGAATTATCACTTAGGTCTGATACTTTAGCACCAGACTCATCATATAGTTCAAGACACATTGAAGTAACAGCAGTGCCACATTTTTTCCATATTTTGTCTTTAACAGCTTCTATTGTGCTCTGATAACAGCATGCCAAGGAGTTAACTTCAAATTCACTTTTGAAAAGAAAATGGTAAATATTGTTTTTCAAGCACTAAGATTCATGATAGAAGAAAATTAATTTTCGATAACAAGAAACACGCATTAAAATTCATGATCTCATGGTATTAATTGATGTGCATCGTGACACCAAATCAACAAAAAATTACACCAAGTGTTGACTCAATAATTGGACAGGTTTCAAGAGGTTGGTACTCCCCGAGATCCCCTATACTGGAGCTTACAAATTAATATTTTCATCTCTGACAACCAACCTACCTTCTTATTTATAGCCTCCTCCTAACCGACTTATTCCCTCTCCCTACCGATTTGACAATTGTTCAACAATCACGGTCGGTTCAAAGTGATTTTACTCAAATGCCCCTGGTCACATTTTATCACATTTCAGTTTGAATGAATTAAGTCATAGTCATTTCCAATAAAGCTTCTTTGTGCCTTGCCCTCTTATTCTTTTATTCCCAATTGTAACTTACAAGTTACATGTATGCATGAAGTCATGACCATTTATTGGAACTAACACAACTAAATGATCAAAACCATATGGGTCTCAATTATGAATGCTGATGATAGGAATTCAAACAAAATTTTAGCAGCAAGTAGGATACCTCGAGTGAGAATCTAGCATCAGCTGAAAATGTCTTGAGATTAGAATGAGTTAGACGTAAAAGAACTGACTCATCCACTGGAAGTTGTAAGCGAGATGCCATTGCTTCTTATCTGCAACAAAACCAGACAAGTAGCAAGTTCTTTGTCATGTAAAACTTGAGACCCACTTTACTTTTCTCTGAAGCTAGTTACCATTAGAGATCTATGTCCTGCACACCAACCAGTCCAGATTTTTTACACCTTTACGCTACAGTCTCCACCATCCATGAGACCATGACCATGTTTTAAATACATTGATATAAACACCCTAGCATTAATGAAGACTTCAATTATTAAGCAGAGTAATAACAAGCATAAACAAAGATGTAGATGGCTTCAGCACCTAACACCTCCTTAAGTAAAGATCAATTTGGCCAATCTCAATAAGTAACAATGATGTTAAGGTTCTAATCTTGATTCTCAAATGTCAATCGGTGGTTCCAAGTCCCACGCTCAAACAATGGAACATTATTGGAAGAACAAGACAAAGCAAGTTTAAACGATGAAACAATTACCACTGTAAAAATGTGCATTAGTTGCTTGTAGTGGAAGTCTGGACTCTGGACAGTGAACAAGTTTCACCCAATTCTCAAAGTTCATCAAAAACAATTACCTAACTACCGAAGCAAAGAGGTTTCAACCAAGTTCAAACAGTCTAGCAGAACAGTTCAAAGTTTCAAAGAATTACCCAAGCAGAGAAGTTCTAAATCTCCGCAGGGGCGAGCCCTGCCCTTCCGCCGTTAATGACACTTGCGTGATCAATGTCTTGTAAAAAATCCATACACAGAAAGTTACAATACACATATTGATTCATGGTGCTACAAAATCGGGTCTATTCCGAAATCATATGCAACTAAAGAGTAATTTAGCTCCAATGTCATTCATCAAACAGTTAGTAGGCACACATAAAACACGCTGAATTGCAAAAAATATGAATTGAAACCCTACCATTTCAATACATCAAACATCGAACATCAAATGACAGTTGATGAAAGAGTAAACACTAACCGAGAGTTCTAGCGGCGTGATAGATTTCTGATCTGAAGAAACAATGGCGGTTCTCTGTGACCTGCTCCCTTGCGCTTCTTTTTTCTGAAAAAAGTGCTTCTGAAATTTCACTTTGCATCCCTTGTTTATAATTTAAATATATTTATCGTCCCTTGTGTTTTCATATTTGCACATAGACTCCCAATTTGTTAGTACAGGAACTCTTTGACAGTTACTGAATGATTTTGATTGAATGATTAAAAGCCTCTTATGATATAATATAAAATAAAATATAATTATTTAGTAATTGTTTACAATAAAATTAGGGCACTTAATGATTAAGAAGACTCAGGATATAAAATCATTCCGAGAGTTTTAGAACCATTAAGAGACATTTTTTTTTGTCAAACAAGATACATCTTTTAACGATTCAGAAATTAACTTTTAATAGAATTACTAAAAGGTAAACAAACAACCCTTAACTTTTGATCAAATGGTATTATAAACATTTACTTTTAAATTTACTCAAAAAACTATAACAAAATTCAATTATTTAATATTATTCACATTTTTTTTTTCATTTTAAGGAGCTTTTTAGCAGTTGTTGAATAGTTTGTGCAGAACGATAAAATCGTCAAAATGATTAAGAAACTCTTATGATATAGTACAAAATAAAATATAATTGTTTGGTAATTGTTTACAATGAAATTAGAGCGCTGAATGATTAAGGGAGGCTTATGATACAAAATCGTTCAAGAAGTTTTAAAACCATTAAGATGCAGACTTTTTTTTTTCACAAACAAGATTTACCTTTTAACGATTCAAGATGCTACTTCTTAATGAAACTATTAAGAGGTAAACAAACACCCTCAAGATGCACATATTGATACAACAAAGCTAAAAATGAGATACATTGAGCTACTATCAAACTGATGTTGAATATATTAAGCTTGTATAAATACATGAAAAAAAATCTAAATAAACATAAAACTAAAGGGTTGTTTGATAGTTGTTGAATGGTTTAGCGCAAAATGATTAAGGCTCTGTTTGTTTTTTGAAGAAAAACTCTTATTAGCCTCTTATGTCTGATTCATTAAGAGGTCGGGTCAATTAGACTGTTTGTTTTTTCTAATTTTTCAGAGACACATCATATTGTCCTCTTATCTGTTAAGAGGTAAACCAACATCTTATTTGCCTCTTATTGTTCTCGAAATCTTTAGCAACGACGTTTCTGAATCGATTAACCTCAATCGATCATTTCTCTCAATTGACCACTAGGAAATCGATCATCACGTCTCTCAATTGGTGTATTTTAATAGGATTTAAATGTGTTAAAGATCGTTAATGTCATATTTTCGTTTAAATGAATGTTAATTATATAATTTAAATATAAATTTCATAATGATCATGAATAAATATGTGAAATTGTATAAGTTCATCTACAAATTCGATATTATAATTTTCTAATAGATAAAATAGACAATTTAAACAAATTCAAACATTTATTAATTTACAAAAACAAATAGTCTTATTGATTCAGATTTCAGACTTCAGCACCACCTCTTATTAATCAGAAGTAAAATAAGATTCCAGACATCAGCACCTCTTAAAAACAAACATCACCTAAATTTAATAGGAAAGTACCTACATAATAGTCACTGAAGCCGATTAAGACGAAAACAATACCACTGTGTGGGAGGACATATGATTACAGATGTTCAAGGCACATTTATCGTTTTGGGTGTAAAGTAGGTTTAACGGAAAAGTGATCAAGAAGCCCACGTCATAGAAAAATCATTAGTTACTAAAATAAGTGAATAAGAAAGAAGTATTTTCAACAGTAACAGAGAGATCATCGAAACAAGCGACGAAGTAAACAGAGAGAAGTAAGCAGAGAGGATCAGGATGGGCCACCTTATACATCTATGAGAAGCTATCAGGACAGTGTCGAGACTATTAAGAACGTGTAAATGCAAAAGTCTGGTGAATCCCATCAAACGTACTTTGTAGTTAAAAACACCAGTATTTTGAAATGATGTAACAGTTGTATTTTTTTTAAATGGTAATGTTAGACAAGTTTTTGACCTTCATTAATACCACATCAACATTGCCTCTTAGAGAGAAAAAAACCCAGTAGACACAGTATCAAATATGGCAGTTGAAAATAACTGAAAACGAATAACCCACGTAGAAACGAAGTTTAGGTTAAATAATACCAGTTATTTTGGTTCGATAATGATTCGTTATTTGATTATTTCATTTATTTTATTCGGTATACTTTTATATCTATAAATCATCACAGATTTAAAGAAAGTATTAGCGTAAGCTGAAAAATAATGCAATTTCTTATTAAAAAATCTGAAATTTATGTTTAAATAATATAAAATTTATAAGTGATGATTAAACATGTCTTATTAATTTAAATACTTATATTTTTACAACATAGTAAAAATAATATTATTAATATATTCGTGATCGAAATTTCAAAAACTGAAAAAAAAAACATATATTTATAATGTGCATCATATTTAAGAGAACTAGAAGGATACTCGCATAGTGCAACGAGATATATCGAGATAATGTTTTGTTTTGTTTTTTTGTCTCTGTCGATATAATACAGTTTTATGTGATTTTAATAAAACAATAATGTTTTTATTCATAAAAATTTGAAAAAAAATTATATCGATATTAGTATCAAATTAACTATTTAAAAATTCTTATTTTTTTATGTAATTTCTTTAATTCAATTTTTTTTATAAATTAATATGG